CCTCCGCCTCCGCCTCCCGGCCACTCACTCACTTTCGCCTCCACCAGCTCCGCCGCCATCTTGGCTTCCAGCGTCCAACGCGCCGACGGGGGAGGGAGGGAGGGAGGGGGCCGGGGAGAAGGAACAGCCTCTGCCGCCCCCGTCACGTGACGGGGAAGCCGCGCCGCCTCTGGCCAATCCGGAGCGGCGGCGGCGGCGGCGGCGCTGGTCCTTTTCCTCTCCTCTCCCCCATTCCCTCCAGGCGGCGCATGCGCAGCCGCAGCGGGCGCGTTTCCTTGACGACGCATGCGCAAAGCGCGGCTCAGCCAGGATTCCGCTCCAGCGCAAGGCGCACGCGCAGCGAGGGAGGGCGGTAGAGCCGCCAGGCTTGTCCTGAGGAAGGGCGGCGCATGCGCATAAAGCGCCCCGCCGGCTCTCCTCGCCTCCTCCCCCTCCCTCCCTCCAGTTTCTTAAAGGGACGCGAGCCTTAAATCAGGAGCGAGGCGGGGAGGAAGGCCAATTAGGCCAGAGCTTCCTTGGGTTGCCTGCCTCTCTCTCTCTCTCTCTCTCTCTCTCTCTCTCTCTCGAGAAGGAGAGCGGCTTCCCTTGGCTCCCGCTTGGCAGGCATGGCCGCAGGGAGGCCTCTGCGCATGTACAGAGTGCCTTTCGGCCATCATCATCAGGGTTATTTAAGGGAGGTGGGCTTGGGCCCTGGTTTTCCATCATTACGGGTGCAGCTCCTTCCTGTGGAACCCTGGGACTTGTAGTTTCGCACAGGTCCTCAGCCTCCTCTGCCAAAGAGTGCTGGCGCCTCACAGAACTACAAATCCCAGGAATCTGTAGGGATGCAGCCACGGCAGTTAAAATGGGATCAAACTGCATCATTTCTACAATGCAGATGCACCCAAAGAGTTGGAGAAAAGAGCAGATCGATGGCGAGGCTGTGGTAAAAAGGTTAAATAAAGGCACGTTGGTTTATTTAAGTGGGATAAGACGGTGAAGGGAAAGTAGTTAAACGCCACAAAGGCCATTTCTTATTGTCACTGAGGGCCTCCATGGCCTTCCTTCCCCTGAGGCTGAGAGAGTGTGACTTGCCCTAGATCGCCCCAGGAGGTCCCCAGGGCCATGGGGAGGCCTAGTCCCACTCCGGGTTCTTGCTCTGGAGACTTCCTCTCAGGATGCCTCACTGTGGCCTTCCTCCTCCGAGGCTGAGAGAGTGCCACTTGCCCCAAGGTCACCCAGTGGGCTTCTACAGCTCTGAGGGGGGATTCGAACCCTGGTCCTAACCCAACATTCAAGCCACTCAAGCGGCCCTCACAGTCAAAAACGTTCTTCCTCAGGATTAGGCGGAATCTCTTAGTCTCCCTCCATCTTCTCCTTTCAGACGCTTCAAGATGGCTCCCATGGCTCCTCATCTCCACCTTCTCTCCTCCAGGCTCAGCATGGAGGACTCTCCCTCTTTCAAAGCCTTCCCAAGAGAGAAGATGGAGAGGGGCGAGGTGATGGCGGCCATCTTAAAGCATCGGGGGGCTCCCATCGAATGGAAGATGGAGCCTCCTTGTCTTGTCTCCTGCTGCCTGAGGCCAGGCCAAGAAGAACCCAAAGGACAGGAAGAGAGGCCCTCCAAGATGTCAGAAAGGACCGGGCGGCCTCGGAGCCTCTCCTCCTTTGGAGCAGGCCATCTCTTGGGGCTGCTTCGACGAGGATTCCTGCATGGCAAGAAGGGGTCGGAGGAGCAGACGGCCCTTGGGGTCCCTTCCAACTCTAGGCGCCTATGGATCCATGGAACATGTTTGACCTACTTGCTATTTATGCTCGGTTATTGTTGCTGTGTGCCTTCACGCCCTTTCCAAAATGGCGACCCCAAGGGTATTTCTTGGCAAGATTTGCTCGGAGGGGCTTTGCTTTTCTCTGAGGCTGAGAGAGTGTGCCTTGCCCAAAGTCATCCTGTGGCTTTCCACAGCCAAGTGGGGATTCAAACTCTGGTCTCCGATACTCAACCCACTACGCCATCCTGGCTCCTATCATTTATGCTTAGATACCTCCAGATATTTTGGTGCCATTTTGTGGCAAACTGGAAAACTTTGGCATCCCTTCCTTCGCCGTTGGAAAAGTGCCGGGCTTGGTCCATTTTGCCATTTTCCCCGCTGGACGATTGCTGGGCTTGGTCCATTTTGCAATTCCTGGTAGGAAACCTATTTCAAGAAGTGGAAATTTGCCAGTCTCGTCGTTCGAATCGGAAGTGAGATTGCCGCCGTCCACCTAGGCAATTCGTGATGGATAAATTTTATTTAAAAATGGATCAAGGTCTCTGCTTTTCGAGACCTTTGGGTGACACCTCTCCAGCTGCTGCCAAAACCTGTTGGCGAACCCGGCTCAGAATTCCTCCATCCCGAGTGGATTAATCAATGTATTTATTAGGCTTAAGGTCCAAATCCTGCTAAAGCCAAGACTTTGCCAGATAAACAGGCTGCTTTGCGAAGGCAGCCCGTTTGTCAAAACACAATTAGGAAAACCCGGTAATCTCCACTAATTACAAGCCATCCCTTGGGCGGCCTCTTCATTTCGTCTGGACGTCCAGCGGGGATTTTGGACCGGTTCCTCTAGAAGGAGGAAGATGACTTCTGGCCCAGCCTGGTCCCAAGTTGCGTGAAGCATGGAAGGAGCCGAAGGTGAAGCCCAGAAGCCGCCCGGGGCCTCTTTTACCATCGATTACCTACTTTTTGATAAAGGAAAGGTGACCCGACGAGACCCAGAACCGAGCGGTCAAGTGGAGCCAGATGAAGGGAGAAACAGCGCGGAAATTGAAACCCCAAGAGCCGAGATGTCTCCGGACCTTCTGGACAAACCCAACCAGTCCTACATTGCCTTGATCTCCACCGCCATCCTCTCTTCCCCGGAGAAGAAACTTCTGCTCTCCGACATCTACCAATGGATTATGGATAAATATCCCTACTTCAAGAACAAGGTGAGTTCCTCCCACGCAGTCAGTCCCCAATGTCAGAATTGAAGGCAAGGGCCGGGAACCCAAAATGTGTATTTTGACTTCTTCTGAGCATGGCTGGATGTCTAGGGAACAGGACTCCTTCCAGAGATGGAAATCTGGTCTGTGGAGCTGCTATCCAAACTTGGGCGGAGATGTCTTTCCCAAATGTTGAGGGTGGTAAGAAAGACCCTGCAACTGGGTCCAAGCAAAAGCCTGTCTATCTCAGCATCCTCTTTCTCTTAGCCAGGCATCCATAAAGGAAACCCACAAAGAGACGGAGGAGAGAAATATCACCCAGGCGCTCATATTCCCTAGCTTATGGGTTTGGAGAGGCATCCATAGAGAGAACCTGGCCAGGCTTCTCTCGCAGCCTTCTCTTCCGTGCCTTGGTCTAATCCTGCCTTTTGAGCCGCTCGGTTTGGCGGCCATGATGGCACTTTGCCTCCAGGAAGCCTACTTTAGGCCGGAGCCCCATGTGAAGACAAAGCTCCATGTGTTATTGTACACCGTCAAGTCATTTCTGACTGATGGTGACCTTAAGGCAAACCTATCTTGGGGTTTTCTTGGCAAGTTCCTTCAGAGGGGGTTTGCCATGGCCATATCCAGTGAGTTTTCATGGCAAAGCTGGGATTCGAACCCTGGTGTCCAGTGCCCTAGTCTAATGCTGAAACCACTACACCACACGACTCCATTTACCGGTCCTCAATTACCCATTATTTAGCAGACATGGCTCCTCTTGGGTCCCAGCGTAACGCCAGAGGAGATGATAAGAACATGCCTCCGACTCCACTTTTTCCGTATTGTGAGGGTGCCTTTTCACCTTCCACACTCCATCCTCACACACTTCGCTCCCCCCAAAAGAAAACAAAAAAGATCTACAGATGCTGTCACCCTTCCTCAGAGAGCAGTATTTTCCAGTCCCTTGGTCAGGTTTGGTTGCCCTCTTTCACGCCTTTTCCACTACTATCCCATAAACCCAGCTTTTTCACATTTGCACAGTCTCTTTTTGTGCCAGCCTGGTGTCATGGTTTGAGCACTGGACTACAAGCTGTTGATATCTGGCCTGGATTATTTTGTTTTTAGTTCCTTTTCTGGCTGCAAGCCGAGGCCAGGGTTTACTAAAAAATAAATTATTTTATTGGGAGGGAGATAAGAAAGGGACCGGATGCTACACTTGGTCCAGTTTGAGAAAAATTGCTGCACAGGAGCTATCCAAGGTACTGAAGAGATGTACAAGGATAAGGTTCAGGTCATTGGATAATAACTCCTTGGAAGCGGATGGGGCAGAACGGACACCCACCACCCCAACGTGGACGCCTCATGCTCTCCCCTATGAGTAAATTTCCTCTCCAACAGCAACAACATCCCACCTTTACTCCAGTTTGGGACTCAGGTCAGCTCACAAAGGGATCTTGCAGCACCTTGGAGACTAACTGGAAGAAAGAAGTTGGCAGCATGAGCTTTCATAGACTTAAGCCTACTTCCTCAGATGGACCTCCACCAAATGTATCTGAGAAAGTAGACTGAAGTCTAGGAAAGCTCATGCTGCCAACTTCTTTCTTTCAGTGAGTCTCAAAGCTGCTACAAGATCTCTCTACATACTGATTCCACAGACTAACATGGCTATATCTTTGAATTCTGTCCCTATGCAAAAGGAGTTGTAGCATGAGCTTTCATAGACTTGGTCTCCTTCCTCAGATGCATAGAGTGAACTGGCGCCCAGGGAGGACCTTTTTAGACTGTAGCAATACCCAAGGAAATGAAAAACCTGTGGGTATGGTGAGGAGGCGACCATAGCTAAACCTTCGCATCATAAAGACATTTAAAATGTGATGATCAAAACAATTAAAACCTGATCAAACCATGAAAAATATTTCTAAATCTGAACTGTATTTCGAACTATGTATTGCACCCGGGGGGGGGGGGGGGGGGGGGTAATCTCCTGAACATTTTTAGGAAGCAAATATTTGCTCCTAGGAGTCACAGGGGCAGAAGATGGACCTTTTAACTCAACATAATTGCCCAGCCCCCTAAAACACAATAAATATGTCGTCCAGACGCTTCACTTCATCTTACTGAGCCTCACTCTAGTGAACTGCGGCGCATGACGAGGCCGTTCCTTTCCCTGGTCAGCAGAGAGCGCTGTCACTTTGTTTAACCATTCTGGAAGAAGAGCTTGGGAGAAGGGAATAGCGATTTCAATATTGGGGAACAAAATGGCAACTTTGGAGGGAAGAGTGGAATATAGTTAATTAGGAGGAGGCAGGTAGCTTGCAAGACTTCCTTGAGAATTATTGCAGGCCATTTTCCTGGTAGGTTATGAGAGGAGTGGCTATCTGCACTCAGCACATGCTCCGGAGCAGCTTCTTTGGGCAGATAGCACCATGGGGCCTAGGTATTTGCATGCCTTCAAGGTATTTGCATGCTAAGGCAAATCTATCACGGGGTTTTCTTGGCCAGCTTCCTTCAGGGAGGGGTCTGCCGTGGCTTTCCTCAGAGGCTGAGAGAGTGTGCCTTGCCCAAGGCCACCCAGTCTGTTTCCACAGCCGGGCAGCAATTTGAACCCCGATCTCCCAAGAGTCCTAGTCCCACATTCAAACCACTGTGCCATGCTGGCTTGTTCTTCTGGGCCAGATTGGTGCAGGATGCCAATCTGGGCCCTTGGCATCCTTTCCTCCTCCTGCCTCCCCAGATAATTCTTGCCCCTTTTGGTGTTTTAACCCACTGATGTTGGGGGTCTTGGATTTTTCCTCCTTATCTTCTGTTTCCAGGAGAAGAGTTGGCGCAACAGCGTCCGCCACAACCTCTCCCTGAACGAGTGTTTCGTCAAAGCCGGCCGCAGCGAGAACGGGAAGGGCCACTTCTGGGCCATCCACCCGGCCAACCTGGAGGACTTCTCCAAGGGCGACTACCACCGACGGAGAGCCCGGCGCCGGATCCGCAGGTGAGCCTCTGGGGCAAGAGGGGGGTGAGGGAGGGCCCTTGCTGTCACCCCAAATAAATCCCCCTCACTTATCCGGCTGCGCCATATGCGGCGCCAAACCGCTCTCCTCCTATCCCTTAATGGGCTCTAATAAACCCGGGGTGACTCTCCTCGGTCAAGGATAAGACCTCTGCCCTGACCTCTGCCTGACCGCTCCGGACCCACAGAAAAGGGGGAATCCTGCTTACCACCTTTCACTCTCTGGCTTTGGGGAGAACAAGGACCCAGAGGGTTGCGCCATTCCAACCAAGGTGCCCGCGTTGACTGCGGGTGAACCTCTGCAGTTGGGGCCACGGAGGGTTTCCACTTGTGGGAATCTCCCTCATGGACCTACACATACTTTGTGGGCAAAGGCAGGAGTGTCAATTCATTTGATTACAAATTAATCAGAGAAATTAACCCGCCGTCAATGGAACGCCAAGGAGGATAAAGGCAGCAAGGTGTAGTTGTTGGAGTGCCAAGACTCTGGGAGTCCAGGGTTCAGATCTGCACTCAGCCCTGGAAACCCACTGGGTGTTCCTCAGTCAGTCACACTTTCTCAGCCTCAGAGGAAGGCCACAATAAACCTCCTCAGAAGCAATCTGACCAAGAAAACTAAGCCAGTGTGGTGGGGAAATTTGGAAAGAAAAGAAAAAGGAAAAAATAAAACCGAGCAAAACTTTGGCAGAAAAGCTACCTAGATTTCCCAGCAGCAAATATACCGGTACTTTTTCCTGCACAAAATGTTTTCCAAGGGGCAGGGGAGGGTTTGCACAAAGATTTTTGGCAAAAAAGCAACACTCCAAGTCCCCAAAATATAAAAAGAAAAACATCTCAAGAAGGTCAGCCTTTTCTTTACAAGAATGTCCCGATATGCCAAGACATCTTTTTTTCACCAAAGTTTTCTCTTGTGAGAAAACAGCATTACAGTTACAGGTTTTCTTCAGTTCCAGTTGTTTAGTGGCTGAAATTTGGGGCAGGATTGTTTACAGTGGGCTGAGATCACCGAGATGCAAAATCTCTGGTGGTTCTAGTAGTATGCGGATCTTATGCCACAAAATGTGGCACGAGGAGAACCCAAAGGACCCTGGGCCGAGGCCCACGAGCGTCGAACTCACCCGTCTTTTCCCTTCTTCCCTACAGGATGGCTGTCAACTTCGGCTACTTCCACCCGTATGCCTTCTACGGACTCGGCTGCTGCCCGCCGGGACGCTACTGCCTTTGCTGCCCTCCGCATGCCCACTCCGGCCTCGCTCTTCCGCCTCACCCTTTCCCGCCGGCCTTCCCGCCTCTCCTCTTGCCCACGGCAGGGGCTTCGTGGCCTCACCCCTTCCTTGCGGGGAGGACGGAGAAACCTCAGGCGGAGAAACGGCACGGCTGGGCCCCTTGGAGCCGGTCGCACCTGCAAGTCACAGCAGCGGTGCCAACCCATGCCAAACTGTGACCTCCTTCCTCCTCTGCCCCACTTGAAGACAGATGCATGGCACCTTCTCACCTTGGCAGCCAATGATTAAAGCCCTTTTCTGGGGTCCTGCTGGTTCCTGAAAAGTTTCCAGGAAAGAAAGGAACTAGATTAGCCAATGGACACAAATATTGGACCAGTCCCTGGCACACTGGGGGGGGGGGAATATTGTTGCTCCCCTACATCAGATAGGCTGAGAAGCACTGCTTCAGGGGTGTTGCATGGCTTTGGAGATACTCCGCATGGCTCTCTGTTGGTACAGATATTTGTCTGAAATAATCCTTTGGCTGGATTTGAATTCTGGACCTTCTACATGGGAAGGACACGCTCTGCCACTGGACTACATGGCAAAGCTGGTGCTATTAAGACAGGGGGCTGGGTCCCTGGGTGCTGTTCCCCCCCCCTCGAACTACCAGTCCCATCCGCCCACTCTCCTAATGAATCTAGCCAAAGATACTGGGAGCTGCAGTCCAACAACATCCAGAAGGCTGCCTTCATCCATCCCCTGTGCTCAAGAGAACAGGATAGGACTCACCTGCAGGAACTTCAGAGGAAGATGGTGAAGAGTCCATTTTTTCCATGCAGATACACCGCAGCAAGAGACTGAGAATATGTGGAGCTCTCTGTTGAACGAGACTGCAAGTCCATCTAGACCCGTGTTCAAATTATGACAGGCCACAGGGTTCTAGGAAGCTCACAAGAGGGACATGAGGACCAGCCCATTCCACATGTATTTATCACTAGGGTCTGTTATACTGCCTTTGTCTATGGAGGTTCGTTCTTTCTGTCATTTTGTCCAACATGATCTGAATGTGTCTGTTCTTTGAAAAAGGAGGAAGGGGGGAATCCTTGGACCACCTTGTATTTTGGACTACTGTTCCCATGCTCCCTTATACTGCCTGCGTCATCTGGGAATTGAAGTCCCAACTCTTGAATGGCAAAAGGTTTCACAATGGGCTTTAAGGGCAGATGCAAGGAAGTGTGCATGATCTGAACCCAAATCTATCAGGGGATGTCTCCACTCCAGCAATGGGGCTGGGGGCAGTCAGGACCCAAAATGGGCCAGGTCTGGGAACCAGTGTCAAATGCAGACCAAGATGGTTGTAGCCAGAGCCAAATAGATGGAACATGTGCAGAGTTTAAAACTTGGGTCAGGTTCCTAGTACCTACCTTGGAAGGCCAATGCAAAAATGGCCACATGGGAGGAAATGAATGCTGCTAAATTTTTTGGCGGTTATAGCATACAACTTCCAGTTTTAATATC